GACAATCAAGCAGTAAACAATAACCTAATCAAAGAACTACCAACTCAGACAATCAAGCAGTAACAACAGCTTAATCAAGGAACTACCAAGAAGAAAACAACACCCCCACCAACACTCTCAGGCAAGCTACTGTATATAAACAGAGAGCAAATCCCACTCCCTTCCAGCACTGAAGATGTTACCTGTCCAGGTAACAAAAAGTCTGTGGAGTCCTTGGGGTTCTCTGAGCTTGGTTGTTTTCTTGCAAACATTTTGTTACCTGGCTAGGGTATTTGTCCATCAGTTTGGACATATACCAACAATATACCAATAAATCAGAGGCACACCCATGGGATCACCACTGTGAGGACTCATAGCAGAGATTATAATGCAACGCCTAGAAACTATAGCGCTTCCACACATACAATCTAAAGTATGGATCCGGTATGTAGATGACACCTTTGTTATAATAAAAAAGGAACAACTAGACAAGACACATGAAACCATCAACATCATCTTCAAAGGAATAAAATTCACCAGAGAGGAAGAAAATAAAAACACGCTACCCTTCCTGGATATCCTCATCAGCAGAGGAAACAACAGTAAATTAGAAACCCAAGTCTTTTGGAAGACAACCCACATTAATCACGTACTCCATTACCAAAGTAACAACTCAACCTCCCACAAGAGGAGCTGTGTAAGAACATTATTCAAGCTAGCACAAACGCACTGCAGCAACCCAGAACAGCAGAAAAAGGAAACAGACCACCTATATAACATCTTCCCAAAAAATGGATATCCACACAACTTTATCAAAAAGTACCTGACCACTCAACCTACAACACAACCAACACAAGCTATGAAAAGGATCACACTGCCATACATCAGAAATGTCTCAGAAACTACCAACAGACTATTAAAACTATATGGCATCTCTGTAGCACACAAACCAACTAAAGCCCTTCAAAACATCTTAAGCAAACCAAAAGACCCCATAGCCCAAGGTGAAAAAAACAGGAGTCATCTACAACATACAGTGTAAGGACTGTAACAACCACTATGTAGGATAGAC